TAAGTGTATTTTTCTACCTCTTCCTTCTCTCCAGAGGTAGCTACACCAGCCCAGTGTCTCTGTAACCTTCTTGAAAGTGTTTTTCTTTTTTTCTACTTTTATGCCATCACTGTTAAATGTATGCTTTTATATAACATTAAGTCATCATTGCTGAAATAACTTCAAAATATACGTTCATTTGCATCCATACATGTAATTCATTTCCCTGCAACACTTCAGTTTTCTCTGTTGATTCTTTTTAAATTTTTTTCCTTTTTTCTACGGTTAGGTGGCACCAGAATAACTTGCAGAAATCAGCTTCCAGTTCATGTTCTCTCTGGAAAAAAAACTCTCTGTAATTTAAGAAAAATTAGGAGTCTTATAATTTTACATGACCATCCTCTATAGCGGATCTATACCCATTCTGTAATGCAGATAACAGGTGTGCAAGACATATAATGTGCCTCGATGTCAATAGCTCTTCTTACTTATTTTCTTTTCATATCTGGAAAAAAACCTAATCTATAGGAAGCCGAAGTCCTCCTTCTTCAGAATATTGAAATTAGTATAAGAGCACAGCCTAATTCATGACAAACCTTGGAAGAAATTTCATTGCTTATATCAGAACATCAAGGATAAATAGTCACTAGTTGTAACTGGCACAACATTAAGTTACTTATTTGAAAAAGGAGAAAACAGACTTGTGGGCCTTAACCACCCCTGAATAATATTTCCATCTGGTGAGGCCTACTAATCAAAATGATTCTGTGTAACAGGTTTAGGTGGAAGGACCATCCCACCATAGACATCCTTTCCTTTGGCTGTACATAAAAAGTTGTCACGACAGTTTTACCAATATCAGCGGATAGAGTAAAAAAAAATGGTAGAAGCTAGTCTAAATTTAAAAGAGGAAGCCTTGCCAATTTCATCTCTCATTACATTTTAACCCACAGTGCAGAACTCACAACTGCAAGAACTGGGTAGGAATTTTCACATGCCACTGCCTGGAATTTTGTCATCTACTTCTGAAAAGAAAGTCAGTACTATTTTTTTTTCCCTGCCTCTAAATACACAGTCATTCTAGGTGTTCTTTTAAAGCAACGCATTAGCAGACCCATGTGCCCAGGTGTTTCCACTTCACAAATCCTAGTGAAAATTTCAGATGGCAGTATTACAGTTCCAAAAGCAGGAAAACTGATCTGAAACTGGAATTTTCTGTCAGCACAATCTAAGAAAACCCTCAGCTTCTGTAAGTTTTTCTCACATGGCTTTGGCGAAAAGCCTCAGAACAGCCCAGCTTTACTTCTAGCTTGGACGTTTGCTTACGCTGCACATACGGGTGGGATGTGACCAGAAGTATGAGAGCATGAGATGCGACCCTACCCATCAACTCTACTCAGCTCAAATGGAGGGGCACCCTTGGGCTTAGGGAGGTGTCAAGGAACCTGAGAGACCACCCGAGCCACACACACCCAAGTCGGGATGAACTACATAGTTGTGATGCTACAGCCAAACCCACAAGAGCAGCGGCCTTGCCCTTGTTTGAGATTGCGCAGCTGAAGGTTCCCCTTTTCTGGTCCTCCTGTTAGCCCAGGCTAACCTGCCAGAGTATCTCTTTAGGGAAGAAAACTCCTCATGAACCTTCCTTCAAAACTCTCCCAAGCCCAACCTGTCAGTTAAATTTCAAAGGACCACACACTCATTTGTCTGAAGACAAGGGCAAGTGTTCTTTGGACATCTACAGTTCAAAGCATCTTCAAAGTCTTAGTAAATGTAAGTTCTCACTGCGACCAATCCCTCATTGCCATCAAAACTATAATTTTAATAGGAAAAGTACTTTTTTGTTTGGTTGGTGTATGTTTTCCAATGACATATTGTTTTGGGAGTAGTTTCATTAATTTTTATTAGAAAAACAAGAATGGCCTTATTTCAGTAGGCCAATCTTGACGACAGTCTTTGAGGCCAGACTGATTTTCATCCACTTGCCATTAGCAGGCAATGAACATTGCTGTTGCTTCATCAGCTTTTCACCTACTTGTGTTGGCACAGTTTTCTGTAAACAAAAATTCATCTGTGGGTTTCACACCGCGCCAAGACAATTTAGCTAACTCAAATACAAGATGCACTGAGAAAATGAAGAGTCTGGACTGCCTTGGTTATTAACATGACCTCTTTCCCAGGAATACAATTATTTACCTTTATTTAAGAGAAACTAAGAGATTGTGCACCAAATGTTACTGAACCACAAAACCAGAGAAGAGTCCTGCATTTCTTCTTACAAAAATCAGCCAGCCAAAAAGAATAAATAATGAAGTACATAGGTTTTTGCATCCACTAAACAGATCCATTAAAGTGGATTTATCTGCACCATTTCCCTTAAATTACAATAATGCCCTATTTCTGTGCAATTTCCTATATTTTGTGAAATTATGTTAATGACGAGCTAATCTCTTGTTTGGTGGCACTGTTATAGCAGGTTATAAAATACATATTGGAAGTCCTGCTGACTTGTGAGTCCTGCAGCAAAACCTGAATATTGCCAGATGGCTGAAGAGATAGTCATATTACCTGCATCATTACTGAAAAAGAAAAAAAGAATGCACACTGCCTAATGTTCCCTTTCACTATTTCTCCCTGTTTTCTAAAACAGAAGAATGTTCGTGTAGTTCACGCGGGCACTAAGTAGTGAATAACATAAGTAGGAGGAAGAATACGCCTGTCTGGTGCTGTGGTTCTACCTTTTATCTTGCTGACAAGTTCCACTTTGCAGGAGAAAAACACAGCAGCACAGCAGCTCTCTCCCAGTCCTTGGCATCCTAGGAGTTTTATTCTCTGTCACCACGTGCATTCTCACTGGTCCTTTCAGCAGAGCCATTTTCATCGCAACATGACTATTCAGAGAGAGAGATGAGCATAGCACACCAGAATAATTCCCAAACTAAACAGGGCAATTATTTAATCAAACATAAGGGTTTTATTACCCTTGTACAATCCTTAGGGTTTACTGAACAATTAGAATCCTCTGGGGTTTTTATTCACTTGCCTGTGAAAAGATTTTAAAAAACATGTTTTCATCAGGGTTATAAAGATGTTTGGAGAGAGCCAAAATCTTACCTAGTGCATGTTTATAACACTTCAATACTAAACTTGTAAGAGTAGATTTAATCTCATAATCTTTACTCAAGTGGCGCAAAAGTCAATCAGTTCAGACTACATCACACATTTATTCTTAAAAATAATCAAGTTATTCTACTTTCACTATCTCAAAAATTAAGATAAATCCGCATACCTGAATTTTTACATCTCTGCAAAACAATTTCTAATACATACCAGACTTTGTGAAAAACATGAGCTAATAATAGAACTCACTTCTTATGTTTAAATCTAAAAAAACCCAAGTCTTCCAAATTATGCTGCATTCAAGGTTACTGTATTTTTATAGGACCTGTAGTTCCTTTGGGCTTTAAAAAAATGCTAGCTAAACAGCATTCATCTATTTTTAGAAAAATGTAGAGTAACGCTAGTTTTTAAACTCTGTTTTCCCTCATAGGAGAAAAAGTGCTTTAGAGAAATCAAAAAAGCACAGACACCACAGCAGCAAAGTCTGCCACACGAACAAAAGAATCCAAAGAAAAGCTTTTCATTTATTTTCCATTCTGGGGTAGTTCTGTCCAGCCAGTGGGTGAACAACAGGCAGTGTGTTTCTTTCAGATCTCTAGGTAAGAACAACAAAGACAAGCTAGCTAGAAATTTTACTATTGCTGCATGAAGGTTTTAAGGAGCAGTGGAACACAGATGACATCGAGACACGGGATTCCTTCTTCTCAGCCACTAGAGCCCAGTCGGGTGCACTCTTAGACTAAGGCTTCCCCCCATCTCAGTTCGATGGATGCGGGTCCAGCCAGAAGCAAGTTGAGCCACTAATCCAAACAGCAAATACACACAGATATATGGACACAGAGTGCCTTTATGAGCACACATACACACACCCCCACACCTACCCCAAATGCTCTCCCCTAAATTCAACCACACAGCCTCATCTTGCCCCTCATCTCCACAAGAGCGGGACTGAAGCTCAACAGTATGACACACGGGCCATTGCACTCTCCAGCCCCACGAAGACACAAGCACGAAGACTTCAAATGCTGCCACAGGATTTCAGGTTGTGCAATATCCACACCCAGACCCTGAGCTCACTTACTCTGCCACTGGCTCATATCTGGGCTTTTTCCAGATGCTCTTTTCCTTCTACTGGCCAGGTAGCCCAGCTTGAAGCTTGTTAGTGAGTTGTGTTAGAAGTTTACACACACACTGTGATACCCACAGCACCTGGTTGTAAACACATTGGCTGGCCCTCAGATGCTCAGCCCCTATGGCCTCTTCTCCATTTGCAGGTGCCCACATCTCCCAGTAACACACATCCACACACACAGATGCAGCACAGAAAGGGAAGTCAAGCAGAAAATGATCATATAAAGTACTTCATAAGAAGCTGGGGAAGACTGCAGCGATGTGGCACAGGGTTGTCAGACAAGAGCACTGCTTACATGAGACCATCCCCTTTTATTCCCTCCCTTGTTTTTCCATGGATGTTCTTCCTGCATCCACCTTGGCCCTCTCCCTCCTCTGCTCCTGTCTCCTCCCAAACAACGCACCCCCAACTACTTTTCCCTATCAGTCCCGGTTTTGCTACATCCCTACCCAAAACCTGGTATTTCTGATTACATTACCTGGGTTCCCTCAGCCTTGCATAGTATTATGAATACAGTACAGTGAGCCTTGCAAGATTCGCCCCAATACTCCCTTCAACTATGTGTGAAGTTTGACCATCTTCCCCTTAAATATCAGTGAAATTCACCTGTCTTTCACAGCATCTACCTGCAATTTTTTTTCAGCTGCTCATGCTGTTACTTATGTTCAGCAGTTCCTCATGTAGTGACCAGCAGTTTCTCATAGTCTTTTCAGTTGGCAAAACCTCAAGCCAGGGCCTAGACATCTGCCTGCATAACCCAAGAAGTTTTATTTCAAAGACAGAAAAACAAAAAGAAGCACAGGCACTCTAAATTATCATGGGCTTAATACACGACAATGCTAAAGAAATGTTTCTGCAAAACAGTTAGGGTGCAACTATCTACCGCAGCCAAATGTCTGATTCCAGGTTTCATAGAGCTCTAGGTCCTTCGAGGAGACGCTGGGCCGCACAGTCCTGAAGGCACTCTCAAAGTCCAGAAAAGCAATAGGTCGTACTTGGTCTGGCATGATGGTTGTAATGTCCGCGGACTGAAGACTGCGGATAGGGCCCAGAGAAGCTTCTCGACAGAGCTGTGTCATGTCTGCCCCTGAAAATCCATTTGACTTCTTAACTATGAGTTCGATTTCCTCTTCATTTAGAGAGCAGTGCTCCTTTGACATGAGACGAGTAACAATCTGCTTCCTAGCTGAGGCTTCTGGAAGAGGAATGTACAGTCTCTTCACTAGTCTCCTTCGGGCAGCTTCATCGATTTCTTGGGGTCGATTTGTTGCTCCAACCACTAGAATACGATCTTCAGAGGATGTTGTTGCCCCATCCAACTGGACCAGAAATTCAGTTTTTATTCTTCTCGATGACTCATGCTCCCCATCTCCACGCTGAGACAACAGAGAATCAATTTCATCAATGAAAATCACTGCAGGCTGTTGACATCGTGCCACAGCGAACAGTGCACGGACCATCTTCTCCCCCTCGCCTACCCATTTGGAAGTCAGAGAAGAGGCACTGATGCTAAAAAAAGTCGCTCCAGACTGGCACGCAATACACTTGCCTATCAGAGTCTTGCCAGTCCCAGGGGGCCCAAAGAGAAGAATTCCTTTAGGAGGACCACGTAACCCAGTGAAGATATCTGGCCTCAGCATAGGCCAAACAACAATTTCTTTTATAGTAGCTTTAGCAAATTCAACTCCGGCAATGTCATCCCAGTTGACAGGAGGCCCATGGTCCATGATCTCGTGCATAATGAGCTCAACCATTTTTGGTTCTATGTTTTTCAGTCGTTCATCTACAGGCAGTGCTGGATCCGTTTGTCCCTTTGCATGAGGTTTACACTGTGCTCCTCCATTTTCATTTCCATCTTGTTTTGGAACAGGAGGAACAAACTTGCCAAATGGACCCCGAGATCTGCCTGCACCCAGTGATTTTTTTACACCTCCATATGATGAGACTGGTGCACGCTGCGGCAGATTTTGAGATTTCTTTTGCTGATCCACCCACAGTTGTTCTTTTGCAGTTCTAAAACCAGGAACGCTGCTCTCTTCATTTTTGTTCCTATGCCCTGAAAAACCACTGGTTTCTGTACTAACAGAAGCCTGGCATGGAGCAAGGCTAGGAACCACCGTGCTACCTTCGTCAGCCAGACCATAGAACACTTTTCTTTTTCCAGAACTCGAAGACCATGCAGGTACAGTCAACTGATTGGAAAGAGACAAATTTTGTCCATCCCAACAATTGCCTGACACTTTCAGAGAACTACTTGTCACTTCTTTACTTCCAAATAGTGGAGTTGCCTGGAAACCCATATGAAGCTGTTCATTTGAGGAGGCTGAGGAGGCAGGAAGCATATCAGAAGTTTTGGTCACAGGAGGCACACTGCTTTGAAGAGACTTTGAAGATGAGGGATGCTCAAGATCTGGTACCTGACTTGCACGTTTCGCTGAGCCAGCACAGAGCTCAGTCTCTCCGGTACTGCTGAAGACTTTAAGTTTAGGAAGACCTGGAGCAGCAGAGGCACTGACCCCTTTATCAGCTAGTACACAGGCATCTGTTAGGGCCATCTGAGAGCTCTGGAAATTTTTGCCTGCCTGCATCCTCTCTTGCACACACTTTAACTCAAAAACATTATCTGTTGTCAAGGCAGATTGCCACTTGTCACTGTCATTTTGCTGACACTTTGCCAAAGTCAGAATGTTTTCAGCATAGTTATTCAAGCCAGTCTCTATGTTGTCAGAGTCAATAATTGCAGAGTATTTCTCTGCGTATTTTTTAAACAGGTTGGTGGCACAGACCTGGGAGATATCCGAGTTTGCCCATGCATACTGAATATGCAGGATTTTGGCACGGTATTCATCAGCCTTCTGTCCTGGCGTGCAGGTGCCGGAGGTAACAGCAAAGTAACTTTTCTGCCAGTCACTCAGGTGCACGGTGCTGTGGGGCGGGGTTTCCATCACTGCCACTGAAACACACATAAAATACCTGCTGTTAAAAAATGTATTTCACAGCTATTTGCTTTGGCTGCTTCCCACTTCTCTAAATAGATATATGTGAAAACGTGCATTATTTTAATTGAAAGAAATAGATCAGTAGATGTCATAAGCTACTTAACCAGTTCGGGAATTTTACTATTTTGAAAAAGAAACCAGCTCGTTGGCATAAAGCTATTTAGACTGTGGTTCTCTTTTCTTCCTTGTTCAAAGAAAGAAAAGAAGAAGAAGGGAAAAAAAAAAAATAGACCATTTGCTTCTAACTAGAGGTCTCCTGGGGAGGTAAGTAGACTGCAAAGAATGGTAACAGATGGCCAAACAAAAATTGGCCTTGTTAAATGAAATCACTAGTGCTTTCACTCCTGTTTGTCAGAATAAGGCACAGTGCAGGGACGACAGATTATACATATCATTGTCAGAACAATGAAATTTATTACAGTGACGATAATAAAAATGAAACAATCAAGCTAATAAATAAAACTATATGCAAAGTCTCTGAGAGGAGTTAAAAGTAGAATTAATAAACCTGAATGTAGCAAGTTTTGAGATTAAGAAAGTATTTACAGATTCATAGATGATGTTTAAAATTATTTATTCTATTTAGAACATATTAAAATGTCCCCATTTTACATTTTAGAGTAACAAAGCTCTCATGTTTAAAGTAATGCTTGTTTCTCAGTTTTAGAAAGCATAATTAAAATTCCTTCAGTGATTTTTACTTAAGGAAGTAGGAAAGATAACATTTGGCTAGGGAAGAGAATTTTGCTAGACTTGAAAAGATAGGTATTTTCACAGAAATTTTTCTCTTCTATCTCTCATGTGCAGAGATATTTCTGGTAATATCAAGAATTCATGACAGAGGCACAAGCGAAATCACGAGAAATCTACCTCAACAGAGCGCGCAGAAAGCTCTTAACACACAGTAATTCCAGTCTTCTCATCTGTCCATAAGAAATGGACATCTAATATCTGACATGATCAAAATACATTAATTTATCTTTCTTTTTTTAATTTTTTTTTAAACTTGAGTATGTACTGGGATGCTCCAGCCAGAGAAAACTTAAAACAAGAATTGTTAAACTGCAAGTCTGTGTATTCTGCATCCATTCCAACTGAGTACAAGTCACCCTACAACCTTCTTCGGAATCAGCTACAGACTGTGTATAAGCGCAGAACAAGGCACAGGTGTAATGTACACACATGACTGGGGAGAAAGAGCTGAAGGAATCCAGGGTGTGTGGGGGGTCCTCTTTCTTTACTTTCAAAAACTCCCACATCTGTGTTAGACAGCAGAGAGCACAGTATGATTATGGTAGGATGGGTTACACACATAAAAAACAGTAAGGAGATCAGTTATTTTGGATTTTTTTTTTGGACTTCAGCCCAACTTTGCAGACCTGTTTAGAAACATCAAAATATCTTTTATCTGCAAATTCAGTGCTTCTGCATGGGCATTCAATTAAAAATAAAAACAACACAAAAATAAGACTTCCTCTGCAAAACTACTGTCAACTTTTGCACTGTGAGATGCCTAACTTGCACCTACCTAATGAGGTACAAATTGTCACTCTAATTGATCAGCAGTCGGACGGCAGATGAACAGGAGATGGAAGGCCAGACTTTTCTCTAAATAACTGCTAAACAACATACTAAATAACTGTCACTGTGCACACAGCTTTTTTGTAACTGCTGAATCAAAACCATCTTATGAAACATAAAAGCCAAGTTCAGAAAAAGTTTATCAGCAAGCATTTGCTCCCATGAAACATTTCCATAGATTTTGATCAGTGAGAACATAGAACCTCCCCCATCGCTTCCCAAGATGTAGTAACCATCTTCCCAGCGCTGAGGGAAGGTCATAACAAGTGAACAGGGGTGGGCAGCTTAAAATTTCAGTTTGATTTTTTTCCTCAAGTATCTTTTAATATTATATCCTCACTCCACTCTAATTCCTATTAGTGGTCCCCACAGTCTTGCTATTTTTCCCCAAGAAATAGCCAAAAGCGTACGCAGACAGCTGTCCTTCAACAGCCAAAACTGTTCCGCGATGCTGTGGCCATCACGTTTTCATGTAAGCGTCGAAATAAATGTGTTTATCAATGCACAGACAACAACCAACTCCTGGCATGAAGCTCCAGCGCCAGCAAACAGAGGGGCAA